TTGGAGCTTTCTGCCAGAGGCTCCAGGTAGGACCATTCTCCCCAGCTGCGGTGTAGAGCACATTTTTCACATCTGGCCTGGTCAGCACTGGTCCAAGGGCTACTGCATGAACTATTTCTCGTTTAATTTGTTCAAAGGCTTGTTGTTGCTCAGGGCCCCATTTGAAATCATTTTTCTTTCGCGTCACATGATAGAGAGCGCTTACAATCAGACTGTAATTTGGGATGTGCATTCTCCAGAACCCCACAACACCTAAGAAAGCTTGTGTTTCTTTCTTGTTAGTTGGTGGAAACATTGTTGTTATCTTGTTCAGCACATCTGTAGGGATCTGTTGCTGTCCACCTTGCCATTTTATTCCTAAAAACTGAATCTCCTGTGAAGGTCCCGTTTGCTCACACCTCCCTCCTGCTCCTCCCTTCTGGGTGGGATGGGGAGGAGAATTGGAAGAATGTAAACCCCACTGGTTGAGATAAAAACAGTTCAATAATTGAAATCAAGTACAATAGAATACTACTACTATTACTAATGATGATGACAAGGGAGAAAGGAAAACCAACAATAAACCCAAGTGATGCACAATACAATTGCTCTTCAGGCAGTGACCCATACCCAGCCCGACTCCAGCAGTGACTGGTCTCTTCTGGGTGACTTCCCCCATTTTATATACTGGGCATGATGTGCTGTAGTATGGAATACCCCTTTGGCTGATTTGGGTCAGGTGTCCTGTCTCTGCTTCCTCCTGGCTTCCTGTGCCCCTTCTAACTGGCAGAGGCCTTGATCAGGGTAAGTGCTACTGAGCAACAACTAAAACATCGGTGTGTTACCAGCATTGTTCTCAGACTAAAGGTAAAACACAGCACTGTACCAGCTACTAGGAAGAAAAAAAAAAATTGCTGTTACAGCTGAAACCAGGATAGAAAGTAAGCAAGTAATGAATTTTTACCTTGGTTTGTTCCATTTAGTTACAGAAATCGGAAGATCATGGAGAAAAGCTGTTCAGACTGAGGACTCGTCAGACACAGAGCTGAACCTAACTGAGGTAACAATAGAAGAAGCTCCAGTGGATGCTACACCTGTACTGCAGAAGGTGGCAGACTCCAGATTTGTGTGCTTTGACCCTGCATTTCCTGTACCCATCTTTGATCCTGCCTTGTCAGAAAACAAGTACCAGTTAAGTTCTACAGAATTTAGACCTCAAAAGCAGATGAGGGTAAGTCATATTGAATCTCCAGTTTTGGAAGCGTCTGGAATACAAGAAAGTGAGACAACTGAAGCACAGGGATTACAATACGCTGTTTTGAACAAAAGTTCTGTAGATGATCTAGAAGAACATACTTCTCAATGTGTAAAGAGCATCATGAATACTCCAGACGTATGTTCAGAAAACAGTTGTGGAACGAATGTTCTACCTTCAGACCGTTTTCAGGGTTCCTTAATGGGTGGGATGCTGCACTGGAATATGTCTTCATTGTTAAATTCTATCAGTGGTGAAACTGCCTGCCTGGGTATATTGGGTGAGACACTTGAGGGGTGTCTTGAAGGAGAAGAACTTAGTAATGTAGATGCCAACACATCTGCAAGCTTTGAGTCTGATTTTGACATAATGGACAGCCCATATGAAAGAGGTGTTTCAAAAAATGAGGAGGATATTAAAAGATCAAAGTTAGATCTACAGTCCCTGTTCAACCCACATGAAGCGCTGAAAAAGACTCTATCTGTAAGTGAAGAGGAGCTGCATCAAATTCTTTATGGAGATGAATCTGTAAGCTCTATATCAGCTGCAAGTCTAGCACCAGAAGAAGGAGAAAGTGATGAGTTCTCCAGTTCTCAAGAACTGTTCTTCTTAGATGAAGAATTTACCAAGATGCCATCACCAAAATCCCCTAATGAAAGAAAATATTCCCTGTCATCTTTGCTGGTATCCTGTCAACGTCTGGAGGAAATGGCATCAATGCTCCATGAAATCCCATTAGAAATAAAACATAAATTGAAAGGTAGGTGTCCATGTGCTTTAACAACAAGATTTTGTCCTTTCTGTTACTGGGTATAGTACAATAAATAACCTGCTCTGAATAGCTAAACCTTGCTGTGCAAGTTTAGGGACACAGATTATTTGTATGCTTATTCCATATGGAAAGTGAGACATAAAAGCAAACATGCTTCCTTACATCACCATCTTGCAAGTAGGAAGAAAGGTGCTCATCTGACTTTCTGAGGTAATCTGCAGCTGTTCAAGGAAAAAAAAAAAAGCTTTTAAGGTGCATTAGCAATGGAGTAATCTGAAGTTCAATTTTGAGAATTCACAAATTTAGTTTGAAGTAGTGCCTTTACTCTGTGACAAATGTGGTTATTTAGAAATGTGTTATAGGTAATTTTTTTTGTGAATTCATTCAGGAGTTCATTGTCTTAATGTACTTTTCGTTACGAAATATACTCCATTCCAGGGGGCCTGCTTGCTCCCTCACCCGATTTCCAATGGAAATGTCAACTTTGTTTAACCAGTAGTGCAGTGTTTAGTTACATGTGAGGTCAGTTTTTGAAACACAGTAAAAAAAAAAAAAATGAGTGAGTAATAGTTGTACAAAAGAATTTCACCAAAACAGTTGGTATTTAATGGAGTGCTAGGAATTTAACACAATAAGCTAGTCTGAAGGAGTAGTGATATTTGTACTTCATACAAAGTCTTGCTTCAGTTTAGGTTTTGGCTGTACTGATAGCAGATGATTTACTTTGCAAATTAGAAGTAATGTTTCATAAACACTTTTTTTAATAGATGCCAAACACATGTGGAGTAGCATTTCTGTCAACTAATGAGTATTACAGAGTTCTGAGTGATAACTGATACAATTTTTCTTCCAGATAAAGAGCATTTGGATGAGAAGACAGCCATGAAGGAACCATCATCAGAATAGAATTATAGTTAAGGAGAAACATAACCATAGTAGCACAACTATGGTTTAGTTGAGAGTGTAACATCTTCTCCAAGCACTACCTGGATGGAGAAGTTGCAGTCCTATTTTTTGCAGAGGCTGTATTCCGTTCTCCTTTTTTCTTAAGCATGTTAGTTGCCTGTTCTTGTTCTTTTCTCATCCATAGAAGGATTATATGTACATCCCACCTTTTAAGTACAGAACTGTTCTGAATTTTTTCAAGTATCAGATGAGTAGGTGGCATAATCCTACAAAATGGAAAGACAAAGCATCATGTAAAATTTTGTTGGCCGTATCCTTCATTTCTACCCGCCTTCCAAAACCTACTTTTCCTCCCCTCCTTCCCTCCCCTAAAACTGACTTGAGTTTATTGGTTCTGTGACACTGAATTTGGCGGAGTCAGGAAGGTGTGAATAGAGGAATTGTGACAGAGGCACAGATGTGCCCCTCCTCCCCTAGGTATGCACTGGGCAAAGAAGTGGTTTGATGCACCAGTGCTGGTAGAGAGAACTGAACAACCCCAGGGAGATGGTAGTGGCAAGCATATGCCCCATCATGTTTACTGATGTGAGGTCAGTTTTTGAAATGCCTTAATAAAAAAGAGCTTGTGTAGAAGATTTTCACTAAAACAGTTGGTATTCAATGGAGTAGTAGGAATTTAACAAGCTAGTCTGAAGCCTGTCTTCGGCATATGCTGGGCACAGGCACAGGGCTGTTCTTTTGGAAGATTGAGAAGGGATGATTTGGAGAAGCAGATGGAGATAGTTTAAAAGAAGAACTGAAAAGAAAAAGTGAATGCATTCATTGGAACAAAATTGAAATCTACTGGCAGAAGCAGACACACACATCCCATATTGCTCAAATTCAGAAGCTGAGTGTGGTCCCAGACATGGAGGACTGGGATGGAGATGTCTGGGCACATTCTGATAAGAGTAGTTCAGAAGAGGTGGAGGAGTTGGTGAAAGGCTCTTATTAAAACTGAAAGGCAGAGGTGTAATAGATAACTTAATGGGAGAATTTTGCTTCAGCTAATACAATTATTTGTTTAATGTTCATAATTTTGGCAATATTAATGTGTGTTAGGTTACAGTGTTTTGTGTGGAAATGGAAGCAAACCAGCAGCGTAGCTTTGGAAAGTAGTGTCTGGTAATCTAGTCTAGTTTATCTTGAGTCTAAGATAAGCATAATGCTTGCTCTAACGCAACAGAAGGAAGCCATTGATAGTGCCAGTTCCAACTGGTCTTGCAGCTGCAGAAGCAACTAACTGCCAAAGCTGATGAGAGCATTGTGAGGAAGACTTCTTTATTTCACCTCAGCGACCCCAGCCCAGGACCACCAGAGGGCAGCGCGCAAGCGCTGAAAGGAAAAAAAATAGGATAATGAGGTCCTAGAACTAATTGTAATACATGCTGCCTATCCTCGGAAAAACTATGAATGCGTAACGATATGAGAGAGAAAAACGAGCCTTTTGGAAAGCTAGAGTTGAGCCACAGAGGAGAAATCCCCTGTGAAGCTCCCAGCACTCTAAGTATTCTTTGCTCCGCAGAATTTGTCCCTGGCTAAAATTGATGGAGTGAGCTACTTTCTCACAGAGGGGTCTACAAGGTGGTTAACACAGAACCACGGTCCACACGATTCCCTAGACAGGACCTCGGCTCAGGGAATTACAAAGTTGTGGCATAAGCTGAGCAAACAGCAACAGAGTTTTTGTGGAGTCTCTCTGGTGAGAGGAGAGATCGGGTACTGTTCGGTGATGAAGAAGCGAGCGAGTTTTGGTGTCCAGAGTGGCTCGTTGATCCGGGACACAGCCCGCGGGGAGGCGGCCGCTCCCGAGGGGTGAAGGAGCTGTGGGAACTAGTGCGGAGGCTACTGCAGCCAGGCGGTGGAGGGCGGGCTGCAAGGAGTCCCGA